ACATTCTTTATTTGAAACCTGAGATTTCAAAATACCAATGTCCTGCCAGTTTAAGGGTACATTGTAGAGCTGAACTTTTGCTTCACTGTGCAAGATTTTTTTCATGCTGTCATTTGTAATATGTTTTGTGAGACTCTTTGGGATTAAAGTTTTGGTTACAAATTGTTATTTAAAAAAAAAAAAAAAATTTGAGACAGGCCAGGGATTTAGCTCAGTGGTTCCACCGCCTGCCTCCCAAGCTAAGGACCCGAGTTCAATCCCTGGTACAAAAAACAAAACAACAACAACAACAACAAAAAAACAAACTTATTGCTGGGGATTTAGCTCAGTGGTTTCGCTGCCTGCTGCGCAAGCGCAAGGACCCGAGTTCGATCTCTGGTACCAAAAAAAAAAAAAAAATTTTGAGACAGGGTTTCACTAAGTCACTAAGTTGCCCTGGTGCACTTGAACTTGTGATCCTCCTGCCTCAGCCTCCCAGAGTGCTGGGATTACAGTCATGTGCCACTGCACCTAGTTTGTTGTTGTTGTTTATTAAATAAACTTTATTTTTTAGATACTCTTTAGATTTTCAGAAAAATTACAAAGATAGTATAGTTTTCATAAGCCCCACACTCAATTTTCTTTATTAATGAACTTCTTAACAGAAGTAAGATTATATGTTAGTTACAACTAATGAACCAACTGTGTAGTGCTGGGGATTAAACCAAGGGCCTGGCATATGCTGAACATAGGCTTTAATACTAATATACACCCCCAGCTCCAATGAGCCAAAGCTGGTACATGATTATTAGTGAAACTCCAGTAAGGTGGGGCCAGGAAGATCAATTTTTTTTTCTGGTACCGGGGATTGAACTCAGAACCTTGCACTTTTGAGGTAGGTCCAGTGCCACCGAGTTAAATCCCTGGCCTGATAAAAAAAATTTTAATGAAACTCCACTCTTTATTCCAGTTTCTTTAGTTTTTGCCCCATGCCCTTGCTCCAGAACAACCAAGTCCTAGTCTATAAGACAAAAGATCTAAGACTGCACAGAGTGCAATTTATTGGGAGATTTCCTGAAGGAAGTGTGGTCCTGGGTGGCCAAAAGACCAGCTGGGTCTCCATGATTTGGATTGGAAGGAGGGGTATGTACATGGGTTTATGACAAAAGTAATTTCATACTAACTGTAATGTACCTGGCTTTTCTTTTTTGTTTCTTTTCTCAGTTAGGGTCTCTCTTTGTAGTTCAGACTGGCCTTGAACTCACTTTGTACCCCTGGTGACCTCAGCCCTGGAGTGCTGGAATTACAGGCAGGCACCACCATGTCCAGTATACCTGGTTTATTTTAAACTCATATTAAAGGGGCAGGCCCATGCCTGGTGTCAAGGTCCAGTTGTAAAACTCCATATACCACAGTATCTGTTTTGTCCATTTATAGCTTGCTGGGAAACTATGCAGGAGAAAGTAAGTATTATTCTAGAGCAATCATGGCCATATAGCTGTGGCCATGTCAAGCTGAATCTATGCAGTCCTTTCCATTACCACATTGTGCTGTCATATCTCCTTATGCTCCTCTTGGATACCTCCTATTGATAGCTTCTCAAGATTTTTTGTTTTGATGACCTTGTCAGCTTTGAACAGTTGGTCTGGCATTTTGCAAAATATTCCTGTGTTAGAATTTGTCTGTCTCTCTGTGATCATTGTTTGTTTGGTTGGTTGATCGGTTGGTTTTGGTTTTGATTTTGTTATGCTGAAGATTTGATCCCAGGGCCTCAACACATGCTAATGCTGGTATGTTTACCATTGAACTATATCCTCAGCTCTTCTTATTTTATTCTGAGTCAGAGTCTCCCTAAATTGCTCAGACTGGCTTGGAATCTGCCTCTGCCTTCCAAATTGCTGGGATTATAGGAGTGTACCACCACTCTGACTATAGCTTTATTCTTTTTTTTCCAGGGCTGGGGATCAAACCCAGGCTTTGGCCATGCTAGGCAAGTATTCTACCACTGAGCTGTATCTCCAGCCAAATAAAGTGATTTCCAGTTAAAATATAGCTTATGTTCATCACCATGTTGTACATTCTTTTTTTTTTTTCCACCGGTACCAGGGATCAAACTTAGGACCTTGCACTTGTGAGGCAGCCTCAACGCCACTGGGCTAAATCCCTGGTCCTGTACATTCTTATTTCATGACATTTTCTATTTCTCATAATTTGTCAAGTTTTTATAAACATTTTATTTATTTATTTATTTTGGTACCGGGGATCGAACTTGGGTCCTTGCGTTTTATAAACATTTAAAAAAATGTCTCACTATATTGCCCAGGCTGGCCTGAACTCAAGCAATTCTCTTGCCTCAGCCTCCCAAGTAGCTAGGATTACAGGCATGTGCCATTGCACTCAGCTCTTTATCTTTTTTTTTTCCATACTGGGGATTGAACCCAGGGCCTTTGGACTTTTCTATTTTTTATTTTGAAACAGGGCCTCACTAAGTTGTTAAACATTTTTTTTTTTTTGGTACCAGGGATCAAACTCAGGTCCTTGCGCTTGCACAGTAGGGGGCAGAACCACTGAGCTAAATCCCCAGCCTTGTTAAACATTCTTAATGGCTGACAATCTTTGCTCTGTTGTTTAGAAGCTGAAACCAGGAATATAGCTCAGTGGTGCCAAGCTTGCCTGGCAAGCAGAAGGTCCTGAGTTCGATCTTCGGGTTGGGGAAGCTAAGACCTTAGACCTTTTTTTTTTGTTTTTAGACAGGTTCTCACTGTATAGTCCAAAGTGGACTTGAAATCATTATGTAGCCCAGGGGCCATCCTCCTGCCTCAGCTTCCTGAGTACTGGGATTACAGGTGTGTGCTACCACACCCAGCTCCTTAGACATATTTCTGAACTTCTTGGTTTCCTGCTCTGAAAATGGTGCTAACAGAGGCAAGAAATCATGAAAGCTGTGTTTCAAGATTATACAGAGAATGGTGTTCATTGTATGTTGGGGAGAGTTGGGGAGTGGATACAAAAATAAATGTGAGATAAAT